TATATCATTCCTTTATCACAAATTTAATTGTAATGAATGGGTTAAAATTTATCGTGAATTTATAAGGCACCATTGCAGTGTTTGCTTGTTTCAGCTTTCAAGGCACTCTAAGAAAGTTCACACGACATTGTCCTTGATTATGGGATCCAACTAAAATAACGGTGCTACAACATCACGTTCGCTTTTGCAATATCCGCCATAGTCCATTTCTAACCCTCTAGACTACTTATAGTGTCGATGTATGTGTGGGCTCTCACCAAAATAGAAAAGCTGCTTCCAATTTCTGGAAACACAAAAAATAGTTATTCACACTATATTGAATCATGCTGAGCAAGAACAATAATCGAAACTTCACAATATTCTTAATCTCCTCTCACTCTCATGTCTCGCGCAGATCTTTCTCTGTATTAATTCCTTCAGTTAGTATCAGAAGCTCCATCCGTCACTAACTCCATAACCTATTAAGTATATAACGAGTGTATAGGAAGCTTTTGTTCAATTGTTTTCAATTATATTGTGCACTATGCACTTGGTATGAGAAACAATTCTGATGGAGTTAAGATAACCTACAGCTTGTGATGAGAATCAACATTATAACAATTATACATATATTTTCCTTACCAAAATATTGTGGAATAATTCCAACTCGTTAAATCAGGTTACTTGTTCCTTGATGAGCGTTCGTTTGTGCTCTCTCCACGTTTGTCTTGGCTACATCAGCGACGTCTTGGTTGTTGCAGTGAGGATTGGTACACCGTATTTTGGGTATGGTGACCACACCACAATGGGCAAAGGTAAGTTCAACCTTCGCTTTCTTGTTGCAATCACCGCAAACTGTATTCTTGCCAATAAGTGCTGACAGACTTTCCTGTTCCACAATGCAGCGTTTGTTCTTTCTATTGGCGGCAATGGGTGCAGAGTTGAATTGGGTGGTGTTCTGCGACAGGAAGGGATTCTTTCGAAGTACTCTCATTTTGGGCCTTTCGGCACTGGAACCAGGGCTGACATGCAGTTTCTTAGCCGCTTTGGCAACAGTAGGAGATAGGAAGTCTATTCCCTCCACCTTTGTTGTTGAATTATGACTCCTTTTTCCTTTCGGGAACATGTTCCAATCTCCACGATTACACTCCCTATCTCGTCTGTGGAGGGATGACAATTGCTTGGGAGTCTCCTTCACCTCTGGAGAGGCACCTGCCTGCCTTCTACTGAGTCTCTTTTCACTGACAGCCATGGTAAGATACCCTGTTGTTTGGTTTGTTCTATGAAGAAGACTCTAACCAATGGATGTGTATTTATCTATCTTTCTCATTACAGATCAACCACGTACACAAAGAAGGAAAGCTAGCTAGCTAATTTTCTATACTAAACTTGGATTCCCTCCTCGAGATTCCCTTTCAGAGCGAGATGTCTCCAAATCGATGCCTTCCCCTCCCCCTAGAAAATATGCACTATTTGGGGTGGGGGTGGGGTTCGAATTGGCACTTTCTGCCTCTGCGCGCCAGTCGATAGGATACATCGTTAAGGCAGCAATTGGTAGCTAGTTTAGAAGCACCCCGATCCTCAACAATGAAAGATTAACAGTCGAGTGACAGTCTTTAGAATATATAAGGGGGGTTTTAGAGTAGGGAAATTATCTACGGAAGCCAGCCGGGGCCAGGCTTAAGCAAAGAACAGTCGAAATTCAGGACTAGGTTCTGTGGGATCAGGGGCAAGAAACTGAGGACCATTACGGGGGGCAAATGGTTTGGCTTTGCGGGATCCACGGAGACATAAATGGGTAGCTTTCACAAGGGCAGTTGAGATACGGGTCTGCATGAAGAACATCATTTGAGAGTAGGAAAATTGAGTTTTGGAGGCAGTAGCAGAAGCAAGGGGTTGTAAGAGAGTCTTGGCTTGAGGGGCAAGCATGCCATCCACTGAAACAACAAAGGGGTGGAAGGAAGTGCGATTGGAGTCGCGCGCTTCTTTATATTTGGAAATTTTGTCGCGTTCTTGTTGGGTTAAAACTTTGACTGGATCTTTGTTGCGGTAAGAGGCACAGTCCAAATCAGTGACACGTACGTCAATAATAGCTGTAGTACCTCGTTCGAACAAGCCACGAATGGAAAGATCACCACGCAAGAGCTCGGGGGCTCGAGGGGATTGAGAGGGGGGGGGAGGAAGGGGAGGTAAGGTAGAAATTGGGTGACCGACAGGGATAGTAGGGGCGGGAACAGATGGAAGGGGTGGTTCTGACTGGACGCTAGAGGAACCAAAGCATTCATATTCAATACAACCAAGTTCATTGCTGATTTCATTGTGGGGACGGATGATTAAGCCGCCGCGTTTGCAATCCAGAGCATGTGGAACGCTGAAGGGACCAGTACAGCCACAAAGAGCAGGAAGAGAAGGGGGGGTAAGACCGAACCGGAGAAAAAGAGCATCACGCCATTCTTGAGCAGAGAGGTGAGTGCGTTTGGCAATATCGGGCATGACTGCAAGCCAGGAGCCAGTGCAACGACTGCGATTGAGGCGGGACTGCTCAGCCGGAGTGAGAGTGGCTTGATGGGTCTCGAAAGCCGCTTTGTAGGCGTCTTGATGACGTTTGTGGCATTGATACGACCTTCTGTGAGGGCTGTGCGATGGTCTTCAATTCTGAAGGATGACGTGGGGGGGGATTGGAATTAAGGGCAAGGGGGCAAGAAGGGATCGGGTAATTTCCGAAGTAATTTCGCGACTGGCAATGTAGTGGAGGGGGGCTTCCGTAATGGGGTTGGGGAGAGAAAGGCCAGCAAACTTGTATGGGAGGGAAGTGAGAGCTCGGGGGGGCAGTTCACTTGAATGAAGGTTCCATAACGCGGGGAGGAGCTCAAAATCCAGAGCATTTTCCAAGGGAAGCCAAGAGTCCGAGGGGACACGACAGACACGTTGCACAAATTGCCATTCCATTTGGAGAGACTTTTGGCAGGCAGTATAAGCCGACTGGGGGTAGAACTGAGCCACTTCACAAAGAGATTGAATGCAGGCCGTCCAAGTAGTGATTTTGGAATAGACCCAGGAGGAAAGGGCTTCAGGTTCGCCGATATGACCACCGAGAAATCTGGCACCATTGGTGACTTTGAGTTGAGAGCCGCGGGTACGCGTAAACCGAATATCATCTGATCTGTATTGGCCATCAGCTACCGGTACCGTATACTACCTATCTATTGCTGGGCAGAATGAGCCCATCCTAATTCCTAATCCATATATATCTTGCGGCCTCCACTATGACCAACATTTTACACTACCTCCTTACGTAGCCTGCACACAGAAACATTCCAGCTTTGGATTCAGCATCCGTGGCAGCAAAAGTAAGAATCCCAATACATCATGCATCCAATGAATTTATGCTATCCCTTCCAGCTGGCGACCCCGTTTCATCCAGGTCAGTCCTCCTGCAGAACGCTAGGAGCAAAGTATGCTTCCATGGGGTTTGTAATCTCACTCTCGACAAGTTCAATGTGCAGGTCAGGGTCTCCGTGATTGTGATGCAGCCGGATGTTCCCAGAATTCGCGAGACTCAATGACGCAAGAAACAAACGGCAAACCTCGTAGCGAGGACAGTTGCGAGTTGCCTCATGGAAGTCAACTAGTTTCGCGGCCTATTGGTCGTGATCAACAGGCAGAGCATTCCTCATGGTGTTAGGCAAACGATAGCAGCAAGCACGAGCCAATTCATCGTGTTTTTGATCCAACTCACTTTGTCATTGGACTCTCCCTTTCTGTCGCCAGCGTCCAAGATAGTGTCAACGACTCGCTGCGTGTATTGATGAATGTCGAACTCGTGTCGGTTTTCCTCGAGTTCCAGAATAGGGACCAATCTTTCATGCCATTCTCCGACTCGCTTTGATAGCCGCGTTTCGTTGGCATATGCGGAAGCCGTTCGTGCAAACTCTTGAACGTGGGCTCGGCAAAGTTCTTCGAATGTCTTCGTTCCCACATTTCCGTCTTGCAAAGATTAAAAAACTGCAGGTTAGAGACCAACACGACGAGGCCAATGCAGTATCTTCTGAAACCTACCTGTACTCTCCGTCATGGACATGCTCTCTGCCAAGTCCACGCCCGCGCCGTCAAAAGCGTCGTCTCCGTCATCGTTGACGAACATGCCATCATCTCCTCCGCCAAGGTCAGGGGATCCATACCCGTCGTCGTTGTTGTTTCCAAAGAAGTGTCCACCAGCATCACCATCGTCGTCATCATCGTCATCTTGGAAGTAGTAGGCATCCGCTTTGTTGGAGCGTGCTCTTTCTGCCTTTCTCAATTTGGCTTTTCTTCGTGACATTTCCTTCGCAATGTAGGCGAATTCGTCGCCGTACACAAGTCCGTGAAGCGGGATTTCTGGCGCCGTAGGCACATTGTCATTGGAAAGGTCCCTGTGAGCTGCCAGTTTCGCTCGAAGGGCTTCCACCACGTACGGTCGTTTGATGCATCTGGCCTTCTGGGAGGGTAGCTTGCTGGCCTTTGCTTGACGCGGTGGTTTCTTCGTCCTCGCTCCAGTTACAAGTTGTGACGGATATTCAGTCACTCCCGGCGGCAACCTGGAAGTGTTGGCAATTCGAAGAGGCCGCCGCTTGGGTCCCGACGGGTCCTGAAAGTGAGGATCTAAGAGAGCCCAAGGGTCATCCACTTTTGGCTTTTGTCCGTTGGGCACATCGCTTGGTTCCGTGGTGGCTTTTGTCTGCGGATTGTTGTTTTCAGTGTTTTCTGCCGCTCCCACACTGCCGTTGTCGTCATCCGCAAGCGCAAAACCTCCTCCACCAACATCATCGCCATCATCAAAACCAAAATCCATAACACCACCGCTAGTGGATTGGTTGTCCTCAAAGTCCATCTTGGGTGCAGTATCCTGGGTGTCGTGATTATTGTCGTCTCGCAAAGGGCTTGGTAGGAAACTGCTGCGTCTTGCATGTCTGTCTCCTGCAATAAGTGTTCCACCAGCCCCCGGAACAATTAATATTCCGTCTTGTCCAAGGTCGCATTTTCCATCAATAAGTCGGAGCCTTCCGGCATTTTGGATGGACCCAAAGCCAAATCGATTTGCCATGCTGTGTCCTGAGGAACCACTTCGTTCTGTGGCAAAGGTGGCTCCCAACGACAACCGCGTGGTGGAACGAGCCGTCGCAAAACTGGTTCCCATTTCCCTTGGACCATTGTCGTTGGTTTCTTTTTGTAGATTGATGGATTTTCCAGTGTCATCTGTCGGCAACACGTCGTCCAGAAGCAAAAATTGTACTTGTGGATCAAAGGTCGTAAACTCTTCCAGTTCAACGTCAGCGGCCGTCTTTTTGGCACTATCTTTGTTCTTTTTGCTGCCAGCATTCTTTCTCAAGTCCTCATACACTTGCAGGACAAGGTTGTAGAGATACTCCACCTTTCGGCTGTAGACATTAGAGGAATTGTGGAGCACCATTGCTGCCTGTGAAAAGTTGAGAGTGTCGGCATTTGCATGGGGATGGTCTAGATCATCAAGGCCACTGGCTAGATCGTGCAGAAATTCTTCCAGACTGCAGTGGAGAGTAAAAATAAATAGAAATGGAGGTGAGTATTGCGACATGAATGACAGGAGCCCAACCATAAATACAATACAATACAATACATCTTTTGAGGTTTTCGAGCAAAGTAGCAATTTCCAGTTGGCAAAACTCTGATCCTAAATCTAAATCATCTTGGACTCTTACCATGCTGCAATGTCAATGTCCCAATTCTTGGCGAGGTCTCTGATGGGCTGAAGGCTCGTCAGAGCATTGGAGATCTCTTCGGCTGCTGTCGCCATTTGGTTGTTTTGTTTGGGATCGGAGGTGTTCGCAATTTGCGTGGCTGGAGTGGGAGCTAGACAGGAAAGTGGCAGTTGAAGGTTTGGAGTGTGCCGTTGTGGCCGTCGTAGTGCTGCTGTGAGGGACCAGGACTTGGCGTACGGTACCGGTACAGTAGCTGGTGATGGGTTGGAGGAAGTCCCTTCTTTGTTGGCAATTTATTTGGTTTTGAAGGGAAAATAAATGACGGCCCGAAGCTTGCATCGATGATTTTGGCGCGTTAAAGACCCCTAACCCTAATCTTAGATTATCGAAGAAGGAAGGATATCACCATGGGCACCGTCCAAAGGATACATGTACGACTGTACAGTACCGTTACCGTCGTCGACCGTCGACTCTCCCTCTTCCCTTGTACAGATATATAGGTAATACCACCCAGCTAGCCGGCTATACGGTAGGCATTGCCTCATTCCATCAGCTATTGAGCAGTGAAGACATTGCCTCATCAGATCAGCAGGTGCTTTGAAGGAGTTTGGACGTCCTTTTTATTATATCATAATGGAATCCTACCCGGAAGATCTTCTTGTGGGAGTCTTCCCTTTGGTATTCGCTGTCAATGCCATTGTTGAACCTGCAGCAGCCGACGACAGCAACGCTGAATCACCTCCATCCAGAACTGATTTTGATCGTTTTCTGGATGCTGTAGCTGGATCTTTGGCCGACGAGGACGACGCGGAAGACAGCAATGTTCAATTGGAATTCCAGCCCATCGTCCCCATTGAAACTCCAACCAGCAGTCGCAATGTATCTATGTTTCGACCAGATGATTACGACCTTGGAGACTCCACAGATGATGATTTGCTCATGGATGATACCGACGTTTCTACAGGGCTTCCAGGCGCTGCCAACAGCATCAAGAGACGAACTTCCTCGGGCGCCAATTCGCTTCGACTATATGCAGGATTTGGTCTCACACGAAGGTCACTTGCATCAGGCGGCACACACAGTACCAGCAATACTAGCTATGCCAAAGCATTGCAGCAAGGTCAGGGCTTCTTTCAGAGAGCCAGAATTCAAGCAATTCAGCCGGACCACGCATTTCCTACGTCCAAAGATCCAGAGGGCACGCAAAACATTACTTCGGCGCTCCGCCAAGCCAAAACATCAGCGAAAAAGGCAAAAGAAATCTTCACGGACCGTCCAATTCTAGGCATACTCCCGGCTCGGTGGCTACAAAAACATGTCTCTTCGCTTCCCAGTGTCGTCATGGTGGTCGTCAAATTCTCCTTGAACAATCAGGGAGTCCAAGACACTCGATTACTCAACACTGTCAAAAGCCTCCACAGACACTTGGCCCCCAAACGATCCTGCAAAATCCATATTGTCGTATTAGTGGATGACAAAATCATGGCCAGCCAAGCCCAGCAATGGGGAGTAGATATCTCACGACAAATCGAAACTATCATGACCCTCAACAGCCAACAACAAGATTCTCATCAAGTCACCCTCCTCAGGGCTGGCAAGGACTTGTCAGGAACAGATGGCTTCCCCACTAGCGTTGCACTCAAGAGGCTTCACAGATCCGTCAGAGACTCAAGTCTAACGTACTATCAGGATTATACTCGGCGGACAAAAGACAAGCTTGCAACTCTGTCCGACGGAGCCAAGAGGAGAATGACGGGGGGGAAGCAGCATCGCCCACAGCCACCCAAGGAACTGCTTCCGCTGGCGATTCGATACTGCTTCAAGATTGCAATGTATTATGAGTTTCAGCTCAAGTTTGAACAGTCCCTTAGGTACATGTCTGAAGCGTACAAGCATGCTCGAGTCTATTATCATCATTTGATCCGTCTCTCGACGAGAGGATCTGATCTCAGCGATGAAGAAGACGACAGGATTTTCATGGAGGATGCTAGGCCAATCTCAGCCACTAGCATGTCCATAGGAGAAGCGGAAGAGATGGGAACTGGAGGAACGGAGGTGCAAATCGACAACACTTCGCAATGGAGTGCAGGGATTCCACCGCCACCCAACGACATGGCTCATCAGACAATTGTCGTGGCAGACTGGCTCAACTTCAAGTTGCTTCAGGCTGGATTTGGTTCTCACACCGAGGCGGGTCTTCTTGCGGCGGATGGGCAGTGGCGGTAAGTTGCTGATGATGCATCCTCTGCACAGAGAGCTGGCTGTCGGGATTGTGTTGGGGACATTGACTGATCTCGAAGCGTCTTCTTGATGACAACAGGCAACACACGAGATGGTTCTGTGCGAGAAGATTTTTGGGTGGACACCCAATCATGGCAGAGGAGTGGTACTTTTATGCCTACATAGCCCGTCAAAGGTTGGTGACGAGCCAACTAGTCGAAAGGCACCCGCCAAAGGCGTTGGGTGACCTAGGGAATGAGTACGATGAAGTTCTGTTGCGCTGTGCGCCGTGGCGAGCCTATGAAGCGGCTGCTGAAGCATTATTAAAGGTCGGCGTCTACGTACGAAAAGCTCTTGCCAAACAGGGAAGCAGCGGAGCTGCTGTGCAGGTAAAGAATGACAGTGCTTCTCCGTTTGTTGGGGGGCTCGACAATGCTGGACTCGGGCCGCTACTAGAAGCACACAAGAAGGAAAACCACAAGGGTAAGTAGTTGCATGAGGTGGAGGGTACGTATTCTGCGAAGTGCCCAGCGGCTAAATCGCATCGTCTTTGTTTCAACAGCCAAAGCCCTTGAATTGACTATTCGAGCTATATCTTTGTTTGAGCACGAACTTAATAAGGAAAAGCCAAAGGATGCGGACGACCAATCGCACTACCCGACATGGTCGCGTTTTGGAGCCAGGCTGCAGTATCTGGCAGGAGGTATTCTTGTGAGTACACAAAAGTACGGGGAAGCGAAGTTTCACCTGGAGCAAGCTGCAACCTTTGCAAAGGGCTGGACTAGTCTTGAGTCATCCATTCGTCGCCTTCTCGCAGAGTGCTACGTGAACGCCACCCCGTCAGAACCCATAAAATCTGAAGCTGGGCCAAAGATGTCATCACTTGTGCTGGAAGCTTGCCTCTACTCCAAGATGTCACCTGCCGTTGCAATGCGTTCTCTTCAGCAGTGCAGTGCTGCAGCAGGGGCCGCCTCAATTCAATGGAGTTGCCAGACGTTGAACGAGTTTGATGGCAGCCTTCCTTTTTCTTTCTCCGTTACCTTCCCCGGCAGAACACACGCAACAACTGGGGATACAGTGCAGGCTTCGGTGTGGCTCAAGTCCAACCTGGACTATGCAGTTGCCATGAAGTCCATCGGCTTTCTACGTATGGCTGGTCAACCGCAAATTGCGGTTCCCTTGAAGGATTTTGTTTCTGGATCGAAAAGTTACACTGTGATTCCAGCCAAAGAAACTCTGACGTTTTCTACGAAGATCAAGTTGCCTAAAAAACTTGAAGAGATCTCCCTTGACGACGAACCCGACAGCAAACAGGGCAAATCGTCTTCGAGCAAATCTGCGAGGCCTCGGACGGCGGGGATCACGTCGGCGGCTGGGTCTCGTCTGATCTCTGAGGAGCGAAATCGAAAGAAGCCTCGAAATAGCAATGCGCAGTGGAGTTTGGACTTCTTGGGGGGGAAGGCAGTACGGTGTGACGCAATCACCTTCAATTTCTGTCCCCTGGAATCCGAAAAAGACGCTAGCAGGCTCGTTGTGACCGCAAAGTCCATCGAGCTGACTATCGAGAAGATTAAACGAAAGCATCCAGCGCACCTGAAGCGCACCCCGTTCGAAGAGGATAACTACGTTGCTTCTGCGTGGTGTAGGCCTCTACACATGCCACTCCCCAATGGTCCTCGATGTCTACGGGCTCTTGCGCCAATGCCCGACATGCAGATTTCAAATCTGACACAATCTGTTTCCAAAGGGAAAGCAGTAGAAGGAACGGTCAACCGTATTTGCCTCAAGTTGGAGGCAGGAGGCGATGAGCGTTGCGGTAATATCAAGTACAAAATCAAGTGCACCAGCTCGTTTGAAGCTAGCGATGGGACAACGAAGCGGTTGACCGAGAGCGATTCATCCGAAGAAAACACCGTCTCCATGAAGGCCCCTGATGTTCGCGCTCCTGTCCTGGTAGTGGACTCATCGAGCACAGCAACGAGCCCGGCTGGAGACTACGGATTCGACCTCCCAGGTGGATGGAAGTTGAGCTCTTCAGGCCAGGAAACGGAAGGAGAAGTGACCAAGCCAGCGTCGTTAGCTCCCCGCGAGTCCACTTACATCTGTTTTCAGTTGTACCGGGCTGCCGAAAAGGCCGCTGGAACGTCTGGTACCGGGGACCAAGCTGACTTCACGCTGTGTCGCACAGACTTTGAGGTGATTGTTACGTACAAACAGGAGAAGAGTCGGACCGAGACAACACAGCAGTCAGGCGATACCGGCACAGTTGTTACTACAAGAGTCTCTGAAGATGTATCGCAAAAGTTTACGGGTGCAATGGTTTGGACAAAATCAATTGTGGCAACTTACGATTTCCCAGCAAAGAGCGCCATCCCTTGTGGCGGGCGACATCCTTCCAATCTAGCTGACATCGCGAGACCGGTGGACTCCCATGTTTTATCCAACGTACCGCTGGTTGACGGTCAGCGGGTCTGCGTCAGAAGTATCTTGAAAGCGAACACATCAGTCGATGAGTTTGCCTTTGAGATCGTGAGCATTCGGAGCGAGGTAAGTGACAAAGTCGCCTTGGTAGAGCCGATGCTTACAGTAAGGCAGTGTGATATCTATCTTTATTGAGCTCTCAAACCACTTTCTTTGGAGCAGAATGAAGAAAGCAAAGAATCTTGCTTGGCCGTGACCGCATCCGAGAGTGACAATCCAGAATCTTTGTATCGCACCCAAGCAGGTGACCCGACTCGTTGGCTGAAGAAACAATCCAAGTTTTGCCTTGTCTACAGCGTTAAGACTGACCTCACCGACAATCATCAAAGTGCAACCTCGTCGCTGGGCGCTGTTGCTCTCGATTGGCTTCCAATCAAAATTGAATTGCCGGATGAAGCCAAGTCAGCTTTGAGCATCGATCACCACGGCCCTCTTGTTCTAAAGTCCCCGCCCGCAGCAAAGTTTCGTGGCCCCATGTCGTATGTGGAGAAGACCCCTTTCAAGGTTTCGTTTCATTGCGTCCCGTGCATCCCGCGTGCATCGGTTCCGTTCGAGGTGAATTATCGCGTCACGAATGACACGAACTTTCACCAGAGGCTCTCCGTTGCATTGGATAGCCCCAAGGGGAAGCCGCAAGTCTTGACATGCGGCATTGTTTCAGGTGACTTACGGCTTGCACCCCACGAAACAAAAGTGGTGTCGTATACCGCCATTGCGACGAAACCAGGGCAGTGTGCGTTGCCGTCTGCGTATTTTGCAAGTACACGCTACAATTCCTGGGTTGTGAATGAAGGGCTTGAGAATCAGCGCCATCTTTGTGTTGTCCCTTGAGGTTTCTCGCCGGTAGACAGTGGAATCATGGTATCAGCTGGTACTAGTAGTCTACCGTAGCTTAGTAGTTAGGACACTCATAAAGTCTCTCCAATGGCGTACCGGTACTGTACTAGTCTAGTAGTCTATTACAATGTAGTCACACCATTTTGAATTTCGAGAAGCTTGCCGAGGAGATGACGATGTTGGTTGTCAAAATTTAAAAAAATGCGGGAAAATTTAAAAGCTACAGTATGTGCAATTGTGGGGTTAAGGATTACAGAACCGCGTCTCGTCACTTAAGGAATTTATTGATCCAAAGCATTAATAAGCGGTATTCATTTTCTCATGACCAGAAACAGCTCCAGAAACCATGACTGTCAACTGTCAACCTCCAACTGCTCACTCTTCCGTCTAGTTAGACTGCACCTGCCCCTCGATCATTGTATCGGTGTTGATCGGCAGCAACTATTATAATAGCTAGGATGAGGACATCGAGAAGAGAGAGGATATCCAGGGGTAGTCGACGCAATCTAGTGGATGATAAAGACAAACTAGAAGAGGTGCTCGATAGCAACGGTGATGTGAAGCGGGTGGCAGACCTAACCTTCGATCACGGGATCCTGGGGAAGGGGTCCTATGGCACTGTCCGTTTGGCCAGGAGACCCGTCAGAAGTAGAAAACAAGTGGATCCGCCGTCAGAACCTCCTCCTCCAAGCAACATGTTGCTGAAGAGTGCCTCTGTTCGAAACCTGCTCAGTGTAGCCAAGGATATCATGGGCATGTCTCGAAGGTTACTGAACGTGACCAACGACGATGACGAGCAAGAGGAAGAAGAACTGGTTGCCGTGAAAATATTCCGAAAATCCACCCTGAAAAGAACCAAATCCTTCGAGCGAAGCAAAGCATCCAGGAGGATGCTCGTCAAGACGGCATGGATGAACGTTGAACGGGAAATCGCAATATGCAAAAAGCTGTCACATCCCAACCTCGTCAAGCTGCATGAGGTGCTGTCACCAGAGTCCGACATGTTATACATGGTTCTCGAATACTGTCAGCTGGGGGAAATTTTGACATTTCAAACACAAGACAAAATGTTCCGCCGAGAAGGCTCCACGGAGGGCATGAACATGGTCGATGGACATTTCCAGCCAGATACTGCCGCGCTCTTTATGGTCGACATTCTACACGGCCTGGCCTACTTACACGACAATCATATTGCTCACAGAGACTTGAAACCTGAAAATATTTTAATCTCTCAAACTCCAGCTGGAGTGCCCATTGCAAAGCTAAGTGACTTTGGGGTAGCACACATGTTCGAGAACCAAGAACAGTCATCTTGCAATGCAGACGATGCAGCGCTATCGCCACAAGAATTGGTGCACAAGTATTCCCAGCGAGCTCTAAGCAACGTTTCGAATTGCCAAGACACTGTGACCAGTACTGAGGGTACCATGGTATTTTGGTCTCCTGAAATGTGTCAAGGCCGAAAAGAATTCTCAGCCTTTTCAGCCGATGTTTGGGCTGCCGGTGTTTGCTTTTATATTTTTGTTTCTGGCCGGTTACCCTTCTTTGATGAGCTCGAGATTGATTTGATTGAAAAAATTGCAAATTCGGATGTTCCCCTGGATAGTCTTGGTGGGGTGTGCGACTCGCTCATGTCTCTTTTGAGAACGGTGCTCAACCCGGACCCGACAAAGCGCGCCACGGTGGGCGACTGCTTGCAGCATCCCTTCCTCAAAGAGGCCAGTGCCGCCCGAATGCTGCATCTATCTAACAAGTGCGAAAAGGGGAGTGCCTGAGTACCGTACGTTCACTAGCTACAGTACACGGAAGGAAAGGGAAGACTTCAAACTGACGACGGAGACGAAAGGCAGCAGGATTGCAGTTTGGGTTAGGGGACTTGGATTGTCTGCTTTTCTGGCTTTTCCCCATTTACAGTAGTATTCGACAGCTCTCGTTAGACGTCATGTGAACACTAGATAGTATATTGTTTTTTATGGAAAAGCCCCGTACATGTGCTTCAGTGCGACAACGTTGACGACAAACGATTCCAGCTAGATAAGCTCTAGCTAGCCAGCTCCTCTTGTCCACAATCTCTGGCTGGTGTAGCCAAACTTTGAGTTCTGTATGCGTCCGGAGCGGTCTACGGTTTAATAAATTGCAGCATCATGCTTGCCTGTTTCGTAGATGATACTTCAAAAACTTGCTCTTATACTTCGGTGTGGAGTGCAAATGCAGGTTGATGCAACTTTAAATGTTACAAGTCACACTTCTATACTACCACAATCAAACGAAAATAAATTGATTCCGAGTCAATTTTCCTCATCGGAGGCCGGGTCATCCTTCTTTTCTTCAACAGACGACAGCCTTGATTTGCTTATTGGTACCTCTTCGCCGAGTTGAGACTGCAACTCCTCCAATTCTCGGTCCTTGGCAGCAAGCCTGACACTGAAAACTAGATTTTCATCGCGAAGCTTTGCAATATGCGTTTGCAGCTTCCGCTCATCCATTTCACGTTCCTGCCGTTCTTTCTTGAGGTCTTGACGGAGCGCAGAGATTGTCTTCTCGTGCTCCATGCTCTTGTCGAGAAGCGAGGCAATGGCAGTATTCGAGTCTTGCAGACGAGATCTAAGGTCTTCCAGCATGCTCTTGTTGGCCTTCTCCAAAGAGGAAATGATCATCTTTGCATTTGCCAAGGACTCCTTCTCAGCCCGAAGCTCAGTAGCTTTGGAATCTCTGTCCTTTTGATACTTCATGATTTCATTCCTGAGAGCTTGGATCTCAGCAGCCGATGCATCAGTAGTTGGGACATCTCTGCTTGGATCCGTGCTGGAGGCACTACCTGGAAGTTGATCTCCTTCAGTATCATAACCATCTGTGCCATCATCCGAAATGTATCCAACGCTGTTGTCTTCGACAGGTAACGAGTCCCTGAGAACAGATAACTCTCGTCCTTTCTTGGCCAGTATTTCCATATTGTTTGCCAAGCGCTCCTTCAAGATGTTGATCTCCTCATGCAGTTTGGTGTTCTCAAGCTTGCTCTCAGCTTTGACCCTGTCAAGTTCTTTGCGGAGAACCTTTGTTTCATCGTCTTTCTTCGCCAAGGCACGTTCCAGGTTCTGTTCGCCGCTGCTGGTGGTGGCACCCTCATCAGCGTGCTCGGCGGTTTCTGCATTCTTCAGGTAGGAAGCCCATGACTCCAAGTTTTGCTTCAATGATGTGAAGGTTTCGCTGACAATATGAGAGATCTGGTCAACGGATGCTTTATCATTCCTAGCTTCGTGCTGGACTGCTGCTTGTCGCAGGGCGCTGACGTTCTTCTCCAGCATGAGACACAGTTCCCGCTGATTAGCAAGTTGCTTCTTTGCCAATCGGGGGTTGTGCTTTTGCCGCTTCAATGCTCGCAACTCTGAGACGAGGCCATCGAGAGTCCGTTCGCGGTCGGTGGAAGTATTGGTGAGCCTGGCCAACTCTTCTTCCTTTTCTTTGAGTTTAGCTCTCAGCTCTCGAGCCAGCGATCCATTGGCATTCTCCAAGGAAGCAATGATCATCTTGGCATTCTCCAAAGACGCAGTCTTCTCTTGCAATTGCTCTTGAATACTATTATCGTTGGCATCAGTTGCCTCGTCATTGGTTTCGGTCGGACCTTGTGTTCGTAGTGATTGCAACTCTTGTTCGAGTTCTTCAATTCGCTGTTCTTTTTCTTCGTTGTCTTTCTGCAACTCCTTGTCGGCAGGAGGCACTTCTCCTTCTTTTGCTAATACTAATAGCTTTTCCTGTAGGGAGTCATTCTTTGATTGCAATGCTTCCAGCTGTTGTTTGAGGTTCTCAAATTGACCAGTCTCTCTCTCGCCGCTTGATGCATCAGCTGCTGCTGCTGCCTTTTGTATGTTCATTTCTCTTTGCATGTCTCTCAGTTTCTGAGTTAGCTTTAAAATGGTTTCATCTCGTTGTTCTTGCGTGCGTTCGAGTTCCTCCTTCAATTGGGTTTCCGTTTTCTCTCGCTCAGTGGTAACATCAGCCAGCACCCGTTGTATTGCCAACAATGCTTTGTCATGTTCTTGCTGTTGTGATGCCCACTCCGCCTCTCGTTGTTCTAATTTTTGCTCCCAGTAGGAAGTACTTGAGTTTGTCTTTATGAGAGACTGGATCGCACTCCAGAGGCTTTGTTCCTCGGAATTCATTTGGGTTGGCTTTCCTTTGCGCTCTTGTAGTGCCTGAACTATTCTGGCTAGGGAACCAACATTTTGAGGACTTGGGATAGCTCTCGGACTGGGAGGCATCGTCGGGGTATCTGGAGAGGGGCTTATCGGGACCAGCGATGCTTCCAAAGCAGAAGTTAATTGCGGGGGCAGAGGGCTTTTGCTGCTCTTGCTGCCTCGGCCGCTGGCCATGAGCTCATCCAGAGGCATGTCCGAGTCAGACGCTTCATTTGGCTCTCCTGTAATGACAAAAGTTTTTGGCAAAGATCGACTACTGTTGGAACGGGTCACAGCATTAGTACGCTGGGGAGTTCCTGATCTGTTGTTCTGCTTGGCCAAATAAGGGCCCAAAGGGGTAGTCGGGGAGCCACCATGGCGAGAGCCTGATGCAGATCGCAAGCCTTTGGCCACACGACGTGTCGGGGAATCAGGAGGAGGAGTGACGACCGGGGCGGCTGCTGGTGAAGTTGTCGCGTGTGTCTGGGGCGAATCAATGCACTGCTTAGCGTCAGAGGGAGACGAAAAAGAAGGAGACATCGTCGTTTGCCGAGCAGGTGCGCTGAAAATGGAAGCATTGCCGACAGATTCTACAGCTGTCAATTCATCGTCGAAGGAGTAGACCGCCTCTGCGTTGCTGGGGCTCTTGACGCCTTCTTCGGTGACACTGGTGGCATCAGGACTGGTGTTAGTTGTTTTCTTCACTCTGCGCTTCAACAGAGTAGGCCTATGGCTACCCAATTCTAATCGGCGCTGCCGATGAAGGCGAGATAACTCTGTTGCCGACAGGTTCGACATCTTTCAAAAGCACCAATGCACTCTCCAGCGACTTTTATTCAACCACACCCGGCCATGCACAGCGGAGATAAGAGCCACGTTATCTTCTCTGTTTCAAAAGCACTTTGTGATCCAATTCGCACGAATCAATCATTTTTTTCAAGAGTGTGCTCGATTTATCCAACCTTCGTCCTTGAAGATAAGCATTACCATCGATCGGCTTTCAGAACCAAAATCGTTACCAAATATGGCTTGAAATTTTCCTTGGTACGGTAAGATTGAGGATAACACCTCCAGTCGTCAACATGAATGCAAGCTGCGAAGCTGTTGAAAGGTGCAGCGGGATCGATCCACTTCCTTGGTTTGAGATACCACCCTCCATATCCGTATGGTAACAGCCGGTCCTAGCTAGCTAGATGGCGGCCAGGCAATGGATGGCTCTGTTTGGACATCCCATGCTATCCAACCTTGTCAAAACCGGAGGCAAGTTAACCAACCAAGATACCACCGTACATGCCAAGGTTTCGTACTGGAAGCTAGCTAGAGCCAGCTTGTGCTCCTGACAAAACTCGGCCCTCTACAAGTGTATGCATAGTGCTTCATTGCCCTGAAGGAAACACAGAATGAATAAGCCTTTCCCCCTGAGCACGAATCACAGAATCGATTACCTTCCCCTGTGGTTAGTCTGCGACCATGATGGTGGTACAGTACAAGATAACAATCAAAACGCCTTTGCCCGACAATGGTCCGTCCTATTACATGTAGAGAAAATAATGGATTGGACAAATTCTGGCCTGAAAATTCTCTCCAGGAAAGATTGTAAAATTGAGGATAACACCAAGGAGGCTGGTCGAGCATCCTCCGAAGATCCAGCTTGGACGTTGCACTGGCTTTGACTCTGGACAATACGGTACCCATACCGGCACCCATACCGGTACCGGCATCTGCTACTGTACCGGTACCTTGCTAGCTTGCTAACTACTAGACAGATAGATAGCATGTCTTGGTCGGCCGTGCAGCCAAAAGTGAATCCACCAGGACTGTCTCTACCTGCTTAGCTAGTAGAGTGAAACGGTGAATCGCCAAGAACCGCATGTCGCACAATACGATGGGCAGCACATCATACCAGTAGGGAGCATGACATGATTGTGACGGTTGACTAAAACACATGAGTTGTACGAACTGAGGTCGATGTGAAGGATGACATGGTGGGGAGTTCGACGTAAAAGTATGAACTAAAATAGAGGGGAATTACGCTCCGAGGTAGATCTTCATTAGGGTTGAGGTTGATCTCGATGTGTCAACGCGATCACATCTCACACTCCCTCATCAACCGAGAACCATCTCGAAATAGTAGCGAATTCGTACTCGAACTGCATCTCGTCGTTTCGTTGTAACAGTACTAGATGTAACATAGAGTGGGGCCGGTTCCCCTTTTCGTTGTCGTAGTCACTTCGCGAGCTCATTGTTGGGTCCAATGCGATGACGAGCGCTGATATTGCAATACACGGCTCTTAGCCTTATTCGCGACTCGATCCTAGATAGGGTTTGAGTTCGACTCATGCGTGTGGATAACGAATGTATCGTTGAAGTCGGGTAGGCGAGCAAGGTTTCTTTGCTGATGATCTTCTTCATCCTGGCTAAAGGCCTTGTCGTGTTCGCTTCTCCATTTCCACTTCGTTGTTTTGGAAGTCAACGAAGCGAGTGGGGCCAGTACATGTGATCGTCTAATCCACATGTCTCGATAGTAGTTCACTAGTCCAATGAATCTACGGAGTTCCTTTCTGTTGTAGGAGGAGCGATATTCTTGATCGCGTCTATTTTTTTGTTATAGGTTGGATCCCTTCTCGAGTAATCCAGTAACCTAGGTACAAGTTCTCCTCTTGCAAGAAGGACTTGTAGCATTGATCTTTAAGTCCGGCTTCTCGAAGCCTTCGGAGAACTTCATCCAACTTTTCAACGTGATCTGCTAGATCGCCGTTAGTTAGGATGAGTAGATCATCAATGTATGCACGGACGTATTCTAGGTCGTGCATTAGTGTTCCCATCTTCTCTTGGAAGATGTCGGGACTATTACATAGGCCCATTGGCAACCTCTGGTACTCGTACTTTCCCCACGGGAGTACGATGGTACAGAGTTGCTTCGAGTGAGGTGACAGCTCGATGTGATAGTATCCCATGTTCAGGTCTAGACTAGTAGCGTACTTGAATCCGTCTAGGTTCAAGAGCATGTCCTGTATTTTTGGGATAGGATAAGGCTTCCGCTTAATCCTTTTTGTTCAGTTCCCGGAAATTCAGAGATGAATCGTACAGATCCATCTTTCTTGGGAATGATGAAAGTTGGTGCCGCCCCACTCGGAACGGTTTACCTTCTTGAGTACTCCTGCCTCGCAGAGACGTTCAACCTCCATTTTAAGAGTGTTGGTATGAACCCGTGGATAGGATAAGCTCTGGCATGATAGGGTTTAGCAATCAGGGAGAAGTTCTACATTCGTAGTCGTCCATCTGCCATTTCCTAAAGTACATCGAATAGGTCAGAGTACTTCGTCAGTAGGAATAAGCTGTTCCTTCTCTTCCGTGTTTAACTGATCTTGACTTTGGCAAACCTGCCTTAAGTCAGCTTGTTCGTATTCGCATCAAGATCAGAATCTTCTTGAGACGATCTGCACTGTCATTAACAGCGGTAGGATCAGGAATGAAAAAGTTTTCTTCTTCATTGGTGTCGCTATCTTTCATAGGAATAGATGCGCCGTCCCATTCCACTGACATGGTAGTGAAATCGAACTTGAAGCCTAAGTCAGAGAGAATGTCTCGACCTATGATCATGTCATACGCCCCCAAGCTCTTGGTGACGTGTAAATCCCACTCGATAATTCTATCTTCGGAATTCAGGAATCATAAATGCTTCTTTGCACTTCGTGCTGGTGTTTAATTCTCCTGCAGGGGTAGTCCACATCGTTTGGACGCCCCCAAGATCCTTCATGCGTAATTTCTTAGCATGAGTTGAGCAATCAAGGTTCCGGATGCTCCTGTATCCAGTAAGCAACGGAGTGTAACGGTTTTGGTTTCCCTTTTCTCGCTTTTAAATCTAACATAGACGATGGGTTTGAGGTCTCTTGTCTTGCGACGTTTACGAGGTGGTTGGCCACGGACGAGGTTAACGATGCTAAATAGATCATCAGAGTCTAGTTGAGCAGCTTCTAGGCAATCATCTAATTTGCCGTAGAGTTCATCAGTTGCAAACAATTCTTGTTTACTAGTTAGTGAGATATCTTCATCACTTTGTATGAGAAATCGGAACAGGTTCCTTGAGTCATCATCCTGGCTAATCCTCAGATAGAGATTTCTCCATCCAAGTGATTGAAATTGATAGAGGAGTTGTCCTCATTGTCAGAATCTTCTGATTTGCGCTTGCAACATGTTGCGAAGTTTGCAAGTGGTTGCACGAGTATCGTCGATCTCGTTTTTTCGTCATTGTCGACGAGAGGAAGAATGGGTTTGTCACGCAACTGTTTTTCGAAGTTGCGGAACGCATGCTTTCCTTGAGCCATCTTCATGTGAAGGAATAGGTTGAGGTAGCTGAAAGCTATTGTGTTTGTTACAAAATGCACTAGCTAAAAGCTAGTGTAAAGATCTTTCGAGTGTTTTGAGTTGAGAGAATGAAAGTTAGAGAAGATTAGAAAGCTATGAAAACTAATCAACGAGAGAGATCATCATCAAGGGATCGTAGATCTGGCTCCCGCGGGAGACTATAAAGTGTGATAGAGTAGGTTGTGGTAGTAATCCTACGTCTCTCCACGATCCTAAAACGGAACGCGTGGAAGTTTGTCTCCTGGATCTAGTAGCGTGGAAGTACTCCACGCTGGCTAATATCTAGAGCGATGTTTCATCATCAACCTAGTATGACTAGCGCGGTCATTGAGAACCCTGTCTCAAATGACTATTCACGAGAGACTCAGTCATCATCGAACCAAAACCCTATCTAGGATCAGGTCGCGAATAAGGGCAGAGGACGCGTGTATTCGGCGAGGTAAGGTGTGCTGTGGTCGGCTGTTCGTGCCGTACTAGTTCATCGTGGCGCAATGGCCAAGAAGCCAATGAACAGCATCATTCCATTTCAGTCTAATCGCTTAAGCCAGAAACAATTGGTCAGGGCTCCCTTCAAAAAGGATATATACCCTGGGTCAGCCGATCCAATTTGATGGAAAGAGGAACTGAACGCGGGAACTCTTTCTGGTTCCTGTAGCCGTTGCCTCTTCCTTGATGGCTTCTTCCTGAGGAATTGAATCCCCTACCCCCCCGTTGAAGGGTATCTTCCTCTACCACGACCACCTCTTCCCTGGAATCTCATGGTCTTGACGGTGTGGTAATGCACTCTTGCTTGCTTGTTCGTTGGAACTAGCTTGTGTTTTTGTGTGGTTACTCCTGCATGAAGGATCACACGATGGCACATACCTTGGTATTTGCCATGTAAAAGCTTTGTTGGCGGATAGCCTTACTTTGGTACAACTCTCGGTGTGGCTGGCTGAGCTACCCTCTGTCTGTGAACAGTCTTCACGTTAAAACTTGTGGTATGATCCTGGGTAGTAGCCGAGCCCTCTGAGGTCCTTTCTTGCCCGTCACTGTTCTTCTCAGATCGCCGTTCAATAACTAAGATGATACCAAACACGGTGTGAGTTTAAATAGCTGGAACAGTTCTCGTGAGGAGTTGAAGGAGTTTTAAAGCTCTGTGTCTTTACCGGGATTTTTGTTCTTCAATTCACAATAGCACTGGTTTACTCGTATCAACCTATCTCGCTCAGTTTTTGGAGTTAGTAGCTTGCACTGATACTCATAGTATCCTTGACGTGTTGGGCAACTTTCTCTCTATTGTGCTCTTGTCTTGCAGAGCTCCATTCGGACGATAGCTTGATAGGTAGATGTTGCCTGTCGCCCACCGTGATATGATGGATCGAAATCTCGCTCGCAGTAACACAATGACGTAATCACTGAACCACGGAATAAAACGATCCTTCATCAAGCGTCACGATCCGTGTAGCTTTCTCCATGATCACCCCCCTGTATGCTGATCGCCGACCGGCCGAAAGCTACAGAATGACTTGAATGTGATAATGGGCTACTGAAGATTGGAAATCCTCGCGCACACACCTCTTCGGTTAGAGTGTTTCAATGCTCG